TCTTATGCAAGCACAGCTGCTTCCTAAGTCATCTAGAAGTAGAGCTTGCATTTTGATAGGACATTCCAAGAAAATAATCCTTATGTCTGAAAGCCCATCCCTATTTACAGTAAAAAAAAAAAAAAAGATAACCATTTACAACCCAAAAGACAACTGTAACAAACCAAACTATGAAAAGGGAATCAGCAGTCATACACAAGCAAATGCTGAAGAAACATCTGTGTTCCTACATTCACTCCCAGGGATATGCTGCTCAAATATCTTCCATGCTGATTAAGAAAGCTTTTTTTTTTTTTTTTAATCTGCAACCTGGGAGTTGAATGATGTCTCAAAAAATGACAACAGCACTGGAACACAGGTGCTTGCAAGCTGGAATGATAAACTGTCTCTTTGAAGCCAATAATTTCTGCAAGGTTATAAGCAAATATGAATTTGCAGAAAATGTCAGTATCACCCAGCTAGGATGTACAGAATGTCTTCAGAATGGTTTAGGTGGATATGAATGAGTATCTACAGAGACGAATAGGCAGGAATGTCCATTAATGTCTACATTTCTCATCAAAGATTTGTGCATCTTTAAGCATGGTAACCTTATTTTTAAGGAGCTTCCCACTATAAACAAGCATCTGTACATGAATGCCTTAGCTTTTCTTTTTTTTAGGGAAAACACTTCCTACTGCCATCTCCTTGGGCAATCTAGGTGGATTGTGTCCACCTAAAAATCAAGGAATAAGAGCATTCTGTGCCATAACTATTAAATTTCATGAATACGGGATTTGAAATGGGGTTCCCATTTCCCAGTCCAGTATGTGAATCTATAGACTAAGGTCATCATGATTTATTTCTGAGGATGTCTGGGAATGCAGCAGCAATGAAAACTAAAAAGCATTTTTCATGATAAAGCACACTTCTAGACTGGGATGAGTTAATGAGACAGTGACTGGGAAAAGTTGGTCTGGAAATGCATGTCCTTTGTTGGGGATGTTCACATGCAAGAAAATATCATGGCATTTCTGACCTTATAGGCCAAGGTTTTAACCACTCTTGCTTTGATTATTTCTAGAGTTTGGAGCTCTCATTCTGAGGCAACCATCTCTAGGGGCTTGTCCCTATTCTGTTACCATGCTGCAGGACTTCTCTTCATCCTCTACCCACATGAGTTAAAAACTTGATTTTATCAAGGTAACCTTGACAGGCTGTGCCATTTCTCCAAAATATGCTGCTACATGATGAGGCTCAGCTCTCCAATTGACACAGCTACCATTGTGTAGGCTTGGATTGCCTACTAGCTTTTGATCAGATGCCCACATCTCCAAGTCCCATAAAGGAGGCAAAACCCAATTGGCTGTTCTGCAAACACATGAGTTCCAATTGGCTGGCTGAGGCGAAGGTTCCTCCCAGTGAGGGCAGCTAAATAGGACTGGCTCCTCTCTGGCTGAGTCACACAGGTGTGATGTTGATTGTGGAGTCTTCACATTGGATGACAACCAACTTTCCTTGCAAGGACAAGGCAAGGACCAATCAGAAGCTTCTGAAGCACTCAACGCTGGATTGGTTGCTTGGGATGAAGCTAGCACCTGATTTGCAACTTCAGAGTTAGTGCTGCAGCTTGGATTCTGAGCAATTGTTTGATCATGTTCAGCTGTTATATTACTAGAGTCTGGCTTTAGGGAGGTGCCATTCCCAGGACAATGGTGATGGTTCAAGCCATCTTGTGAGGCAAGCAAATCATCTAGGGAGGAGCGAGAGCTGGACCTTCCTGGGGAGAAAAGGACATTAAAAACATTAGGAGACCTTGATCTACTAAGTTCTAAGTTATATGGACAATAGTCATAATCATCTGACATATAAGATGGTCAATAATTTCAGTAGGGGGGCAGCATTAGCCAATCTTGGCTGATGTTGGAAGCTAAGCAGAATCAGCTCTGGTTAGTACGTGGATGGGGAACCACCAGAGAATTCCAGGGCAGTTGGTTAGATTAGATACTATACTGAGGCACGCTGCAGATGAGAAGCCCTCAGCCCAGTACTGTGGGCTACAACATTGCCTCATTCACATCTTCTGGCAGTTAGTAAGGCCTTAACTGCAAGGCCCACAAGCACCAAAGCCAACTCTCCTGACTCTGTATGAGAGCCAGGAGGCAGCCACAAACCCTATTTTTACATTTCTAACAACACTGCACAGAAACTTAGCGGGCCCCTGCGAATGAAACTGCGAAGAGGTGTTGCAGAAACAGGAGCTTTAAAAGCTCTCAGATATGCTAAGTTCATGGTGTTAGATTTTTCCACTGGTAAAAGAAGTACAAAAAGAAAAATCCAGCGATATTATCTCACTGCCGGTATCAGAGAATTGGTGGGAGGCTACTTCTGGTTTTATTTTTAAAGTTCAGCAAATAGCTTTAATTAAAAATGTCCTGAAGACATATATTAGTCATACAGGAGAGAGCAAGAATACGTGACGAAAAAGCAGAAAGGAGGAAACTATCTCAAGCAGTCAATTTTAAACACCCCCTCATGTTCCAGGCACAAGGCTGTGCTTTTATTATATTGCATAAGTGGTGATAGATTTTCATCCGCCATCTTGTGATGGCTTTAGTTGCAAATCGATCTGGGAGTTCAACAAGCAAGCCGATGGGAGGTCCATGCGGTGATAAGGGCTTGGTGGAGCAAGGAGGACAGCCTCTGTAGCCTTGGTTTGAACATACAGGGCTCCGTGGCTTAAACAGAGTTGTATTTGCTCATGGTGTTCATTCATCTGTATTTATTCAACTAATTATGCATGCTGAAAGTAGGTTACCGGCTTCTGCTTTTAAAGCACTGGGCCTAACCTACTGAGTGGGGACCCCACCAATGGAAACTCCATGTGTCATAATAGATAGTACTAGGACTACAAGGAAAGGGCTACAGGCTAGACTGGGTAGTTGAAAAAACTTCCCCAAGAAGGGAGCAGTGAATCCCTTCTGTATTGTCACCAGGAAAACTAAAATCACCAGAAGCCGACTCAACGGAGCCTTTACTTTTTAGGTAAGAACACTTAAGCGAAATAGTTATATGTGGGACTATATCCTCAGCAGCTAATGAGGTCTGCATTGCATACAGGGTTTTCGATAGGAAAATGGACTGACCGTAGAAAAAGTACAGATAGTCCTCAGTTAACAACTATTCATTCAGCAATCAAAGTTATGATAGTGCTGAATGAGGAAACTTAAGGCCAGTCCTCAAAGTTGTGGCTGTCACAGTGTCCCCACGGTCACGTGAGCATGATTTGAACACTTGGCAACCGGCTTGCAATTATGACAGTTGCAATGTTCCAGTGTCACGTGATCACCATTTGCGACTTTCACTGCCGGCTTCCAACAAGCAAAGTCAATAGCAAAGTCAATGGGGAAGCCAGAATGACCATGTAGGATTCACCTAATGACTGCAACTGGAACTCCCAGAACTGCCGTCATAAGTCAGTGCGATCACATGACATCGCGCTTTATGACCGCATCGCTTAGCAACCGAGTTCCCAGTCCCAGTTACCATCGCTAACCAAGGACTACCTGTACTTATTAGGAAGCAGTAGGTAGGAGAAGAAAAATTATGAGAGTCTGTCCAAATAAAACACAAAAGAAAGTCTTGTGAAGTTTAAGGCTCTTGCGTTGTATGTAACACAATGATGATGTCCTGGGAATGCCTTTGAAAATGTGTGAATGAGGCACACCAGTGTCCAGAAGCTGCAGCACAATACTTTTGTATCACCTGACCAGTGCATGTTAGAACAAGGCATTCACTTTTATGCAAATAAAAGACAGAATGAGAACACTAAAGAGGAGATGCACAATTAAGGAGGCTGTGAGTTGTACATTTTGGATCAGGTTTTGCAAAAAGCAAAATATAGCCTCCAGGGATGATACACTTGCCTATAAGGGATCTGAGTGGGGACTTCATCTGTTTAGGTGCATCACCACTCTAACGTGGGGCTGTTTGGAAAAAAAAAAAGTGGGGAGATCAAAAGGCAGGACATACATGCTTGGGATAAAGAAACAAATGCCGTGGCCTCTCCTAGTACCTGTGATGAGTTTTCCCCGCTGCGAAGCCTCTGTCGCCAGCGCATAGGAGAGCTGGATTACTCGCTGTCGCTCCCACTCAGGGGTTGGGGGGCATCGAGGAGGCTTGAGTTCCCCAATTGGCACTCCCTCCTTGGGTGATGACTCAGGGGGGGCATTGGGGAGGGGCTGAAGGAGAGATTAAATGATGGGAGGGGAGCGTGGCATGAGCAACAGAGTTCTAGCCCCAGCTCTTGACAAAGCACCCCTCGTTACCATCTAAACTAGAAATTAAGCACGCCAATCAGCACCATCCTTTCCTTCTGGTTTTGATTTAAAAAGCCTGGAGGACAATCCTAGAGAGACTTCTGTTTCACTGGATAAAAGTGCACTATCAAAACACGGTTGGTGGAAACCTTTCCTTTCCTCAGCCCCCGCCTCCACCCCCTCCCCACAAGTGGGATGTAGCCCCCTTCACTCCTGTCTCAAAGGACCAGAAGACCCAGCTTTCCTGACCTGATCCCTCTTCCAGCTTCCTCTTAGCAAACTCAAGGAGCTGGTTTCCACCACGGCAAGAGAGTCTAGAAATCTAGCCTCCCCCCCCCCCCCCCCGCCAATGTACTCTGGCTCCTCTCTGGGCCAAAGAGCCTCTCTTCCGCTAAGTGTCAAGGTGTTTCACTGAAAAATCCGCCCGAGACCCTTGCCGCTCTCCTGCACTCCAAGTCCCCTCCCCAGAAGGCTTCACACCCACCCGGCTAGACCCACGCCTGAGAGAGTCTCGCCAGTGACCCAGGGGAGAGGTCTGGGCAGCCTCAGATTTTCGTTTGGCCTCCTGGTGCCGCTGCATCCTGTCCAGCTGCTCCTGGGCACTCATGCGGGACCGGCGAGGGACGGTCGCGTCAGAAGAGGTCACCTGGACGTGAGGGAAGAGGGAGGGTTGGGAGAAGTCACTGCCCGGGTGCCACACTTTTACCTGAGAGGATTTTTTTCTATCAGTCCTGTGTTGCTACAATTGCAAGATGAATAAGCTGCACCCCAGGGCTACACAAAGCCACCCCAGCACCCTATTTGCTTCCCCTGGACCGGGCAGGATGGAATTTCGGACCACTTCTTTCAATAAGGGGATGAAATTGGTGGCTTAAGCTTTGCAGAAGCTGAAGAGCTCTGTGGCATTCCTTTAAAATCGCAAGCCAGCTCCCAAATCTGGCAAACCTTAGGCATGAAAGCTGGCTGGGTGACTTTGGGCCAGTCACTCTCTCTCAGCCCAACTCATCTCACAGCGTTGTTGTGGGGAAAATAGGAGGAAGTAAGTATTAGATATGTTCGCCGCCTTGAGTTATTTATAAAAAAAAGAAAAGTGGGATAAAAAATCTTTAAAAAAACATCGAGTTCTGGAGGTGGATTAAGGAATGCTATACCACCACCCCCAAAAACTTTGGCCC